TGTATTACTAAGATCCCAAGCTATTCTGACTATTGCTTTCATTAGCTAACTATGCCATTTGCTATGGAGGCATGGAGTACTTTGAAGGCAGTGTCTCTAGAGTGTGAGCTTGTGTGTGTAGGAATTATTTTTGTAGATTTTAGGTAAGAAAGAACTATTTTGGCCTTCCAGCATAATCCTTTGCATAGCACAGACTTAAGAACATCATTTGGAAATTTCTGCCCTCCGGGCCCATTACTTCTGTTTGAACAAGATCGTAACTTTTAAAAAGATACTCAAACTGGAGTAAAAACTTTAATAAATGAAGAAACCATCCTATTCTGAAGAAAGTCATTCCTGTAGTCACTTTATTGTTCATCCTGGACTTTCAGCCTCTTCATCATAGTTTGACCTTTATTCCACGTATCACAGTTTGATTTTTCCTTTTCTGTATTTTCTCTGTTTCTTCTGTTACCCATTCCACATGTGGCACCACTGCACCCAGCAGCATATCTAAGATAGGTCGTTTAGTTTTACTTCAGCAGTCTCACAGTCAACTTCTTCTTTCATGTCCTTATGAGAACCCTAACTTGATATATGGTGGCATTGCTTTTTATCTTAAATAAGGAGTTTACAAAGGTGTGAAAATTATTTGCAAGATATTCTAATAAATGGGTTAATCCATAGCTATGGAGTCGAGCTGCTCAATAGGTTGCTCTAGTCATTTATAATCTTTCCACTGCTGTTATCTATAGTTATTCATAATTCATACTTCTCCTGATGATAATGAGCTTATAAAAAGCGCCCCTCATCAGAGCACGCCGTTCGCTACTTGCTGTTGCTCATCTAACACAACCATCGGTCCCCTGTGATTCATTGGTCTCCTGGCACCGATTAGGGGATGGCAGTCTCAATTGAATGTTGCCTGAACGGAGAGGTTTGACTATTAATAAATAATCGCCCACATTAGTAGGTGATCAGTTAAAGTTAACTGCCATGGGCCTTTTTCCATGCCATTTTTTTCCCACTTGCTGTCCATCTGCCTTCCTCTCGAGTTGCTCATATGAGGTCTTTGGACGTTACTTACATTCTAGACTCTTTGATCCAAGGGTTGGACCGGCGTTGGATGGTGCCTCACACACCGGGCCTATGGCTGGGGCCATCAGTCCCAGGCTAACCTGAGACACGTTGGTGTTAACCCGCGGCGTCCCGAGAGGCAGGGCTGTGGGAGCCCTCCAGGCACCCCACGCTCCAGCAGCGGATCGACACATCCTGGAGAGGGCACCGGGCTCGCTCCTTGGGCTACTTCCCCAGCGGCCTCAGGACACGGGTGGGCAGCACCTTGGTGGAGGATCCGCAAGGAGAAGAGGATGGGCCATGTGGGTGCGAGAGATGAGGACGCGGGAGCACCCACGGGGCAGGATCGGGGCTGGGGAGGCGCGATGCTACCCCTTTAAAGCAGGCTCGGTGGCCTGACCTCGGCGTGGAGTAGCCGAGACCCGTCTTCAGGAATCAGAGTAATCCCGGGTGATTTTATCCCACTCCACTTCCCTAAATCTGCCGCTGCGCTGCTCTGCAAGGGGATTAGAGGGCTGGCGGTGGATTACGCA